CCATCAATACGTTGTTATTGTATTTCTAAGTGAAATCGGTTCTTCCAAATTCTCCAATGGGGAAAAATATTTTAGATCCCAAATATCATTTGGCTCTTGACCCAGGACACTTCAAAGCAGGTCCACTTAGACACTATAGTGAATCTTCGCCAGTCTCCCCACCTCCTCTCATCCCCACCGTCACCACGAACTCATTAGGGCTGCCTTCTCCCATTGTCACATCCTGAGTGCCCCGCTGCAGGCCACAGACAATCCTATTGGAGAGCTGTGTCCCTCCCCAGAGAAACGCCAGGCACCTCGCGGGGCTTGCTCCGGGCTGAAGGTGTGGCAGAAGCATCCGTTCTACCACCTGGAACCTAAAAAGGACAGTAAGTACCGCCCAGTGAGAAAAACTGCCTCCAGTCGGTGAAGGGTTAATCCCTGGCCAGCCATCAGCCCCTGCTGAGCGTGCTAATAAGTGTAAGAGCTGGTGCCAATGAGGGTGGCCCTTCCCTTGGTGAGAACAGGAACCGGGAACCAGAACCGCCACCCTTAGGAACTGGACTGTCCACACCTCCCACCAGGGCGGCGACCCGGCAGCCAGGAGAAAGGCAGAGGCTCTGAGAAGCTGCGCGGCCAAGTGCTGCTGGCACTTTGTGAACCGCTGCCGGAACCGCCATGCGCGGGGAGCCTGCTAATGAGCCAGGCCGCAGTGAGGGCACCGAAGAAAAGATCCCCAGCGGCCAGCAGCCTCGGGAGCCCGGGCCCCCGTGGCTATGACCCTGACCACGGGCCTCACCCACGGGGAGAACCCACGGTCTTCCTTCCCATGCCTCGCGCTGAAATAGACTCTGATCTGAAATCAGATGAAGAGGCGGGGCCGGGAGGGGGACGGTCCCCCAGAGAGATGTGAGCGACCATCTCCTGGTTGGGCTGAGCAGTACTTCCTAAATGGTCATTGTCTTATTGAAGAGCAAGTAACTAACTCTCATAGAGTAAGAGAGCCCTGTATGGGCCGTGATGACTGACTCATCAGCAAAGGGCTATGATGGTTCCAATTCGAGGTGCCTGAGGCCCATTTAAAAAGCCCAGTTAGGAGAGGCTGCCGCCCATCCTCAGGCCTGAGGGCTCACCAGCACCGCACCGCTGGCCGCTGGCCGGAGTTGCCTTCAGGCCCAGCAGCCTGAGTGATGGCGAGGGCTCCACACATGATGCAGTCAGCCCTGTCCTCGGGTTTCTAGACATTAACCCCCCACGGCTCCCAATGGCTGTGTCCCCACCAACTGCTATCTGTCTTCCTTTGCTACTTCTTCCCCACAGTTGTTAGTGTAGAACCCAGGTCAGCGTCCCGCAGACGCCCCGGTTCCTGCTTTTATTCCCTGTTGTCCTGGCCAGGCGGGCCAGGCTGCGGACAGACCTGCGTTACCGTTTGTGCTTAACATGCCGCTCCCTTCTCAGATCAAACACTTCACATAAACGCCAGCGGCTATTTTGCGGCTCAAAAAAACGAAGGCGCTGCGGCCTCTCAGTTCATCTCAACGGCTGGCAGGTGCCATCCGTGGTCTCAGAGCTGCCCAATTTCAACTGCAGACTCACAACCGACCAGTGCTTTGTGGGGGCGGGGGAGAGCGCAGACAAGGATTTGGGGGAGTCCTGTGGTCAAATGGCCAGCTGAGGAAGCGCAGCGTCGCCGGCTGTGTTCCTGAAGGCCCGTGCCCACGGGGACCAGGGAGAGGAGAGCTCTGCCCAGTGCGAATGGCACTGAGCGGTGCCACGGGCAGGCTCCCCCCTGCCCTCCCGGCCCAATCAGACCAGTCCCGTAATCTGACTCCGGGCACCAAGCGGCGGGCGGGCGGGCCGAGCGCACTCGGCGGGGGGAAGGCATGAGCGACAGACCCAGACCCGCGGCCAGGCGGTGGGGGTAAGTCCTGCGTCGCTAAGGGGACACCGCTCCGGGCCAGACGCGGGGACGGGCGGCCTTATCAGAGATCTGGGCCTTCTCCCCGGAATGCAGGCGGAGACTGAGCCTGAGCGCAGGGGCTAGGGCTGAGCCCCGAGCGGCTCACAGGGCAGGGAGCGGCTGCAGGAAAGGGGTGCAAGCTGACACCTGGGCAGCACGGGACAGGGACCCGCTGCAGGTAGGGCTGCCGCAGCCTTTTTCATCAGTGAAATGATTGCTCAGGGGCTCGGCCGCCAGGAGCAGGCCGGCTGGGTGTCGCTAGAAGGAAAGGCGCCCCTTTCCGTGCGACCCGGGCACACCAGCGAGCCCCTTTGTTCTGGGGCAAAAGAAGCCAAAGGAACGGTGCTGCTCCGTGCAGCGCTGGGGACGCGGGGGACACTGACATGGCCGCAGGGGGCTCGGCCGCGGGGGGAGCTGCTGAGGCCACAGGTGTGGGTGCGCTGCCAGGACACTTGGGCGGCCGGTCGCTGGGCCCTGGGCGGGGATCAGACTCTGGGTTTTGAAAGAAAGTTAGATGCGCCGTCAGCAGTTTATTTATCTGTTTGGTTTTTGTGGGTATTTTTTTCTGATGAAAATTTAAAGCTGGAAGAGCAACTGAGTTTCTGAAATTAGGTCCCTGGAGAGGTGGACGGGTGCCTGAGAGAGGGGCAGGGAGAGGGGAGCTGAGAGAGGAGCAGGGAGAGGAGCTGAGAGAGGAGGAGGGAGAGGGGAGCTGAGAGAGGAGGAGGGAGAGGGGAGCTGAGAGAGGAGGAGGGAGAGGGGAGCTGAGAGAGGAGGAGGGAGAGGGGAGCTGAGAGAGGAGGAGGGAGAGGGGAGCTGAGAGAGGAGGAGGGAGAGGGGAGCTGAGAGAGGAGGAGGGAGAGGGGAGCTGAGAGAGGAGGAGGGAGAGGGGAGCTGAGAGAGGAGGAGGGAGAGGGGCTGAGAGAGGAGGAGGGAGAGGGAGCTGAGAGAGGAGGAGGGAGAGTGGCTGAGAGAGGAGGAGGGAGAGGGGCTGAGAGAGGAGGGAGAGGGGAGCTGAGAGAGGAGGAGGGAGAGGGGCTGAGAGAGGAGGAGGGAGAGGGGAGCTGAGAGAGGAGGAGGAGAGGAGAGGGAGCTGAGAGAGGAGGAGGGAGAGGGGCTGAGAGAGGAGGAGGGAGAGTGAGCTGAGAGAGGAGGAGGGAGAGGGGCTGAGAGAGGAGGAGGGAGAGGAGCTGAGGAGAGGATGAGGGAGAGGGGAGCTTGAGAGAGGAGGAGGGAGAGGGGAGCTGGAGTGAGAGAGGAGGGAGAGGGGAGCTGAGAGAGGAGGAGGGAGAGGGGAGCTGAGAGAGGAGGGAGAGGGGAGCTGAGAGGAGGGGAGAGGGGCTGAGAGAGGGAGGGAGATGGAGCTGAGAGAGGAGGGAGGGGGAGATGAGGATCTGAGAGGAGAGGAGCTAGGAGGAGAGGAGAGGGGAGCTGAAGAGGAGGAGGGAGAGGGGAGCTGAGAGAGGAGGAGGGAGAGGGGAGCTGAGAGAGGAGGAGGGAGAGGGGAGCTGAGAGAGGAGGAGGGAGAGGGGAGCTGAGAGGAGGGAGAGGGGCTGAGAGAGGAGGAGGGAGAGGGAGAGGGGAGCTGAGAGAGAGGAGGGAGAGGGGAGCTGAGAGAGGAGGGGGAGGGGAGCTGAGAGAGGAGGAGGGAGAGGGGAGCTGAGAGGAGGAGGGAGAGGGGAGCTGAGAGAGGAGGGAGAGGGGAGCTGAGAGAGGAGGGAGAGGGGAGCTGAGAGAGGAGGGGGAGAGGGGAGCTGAGAGAGGAGGAGGGAGAGGGGGGCTGAGAGAGGAAGGGGAGGAGCTGAGAGAGGGAGGGAGAGGGGAGCTGAGAGAGAGGAGGGAGAGGGGGCTGAGAGAGGAAGGGAGAGGGGAAGAGCTGAGAGAGGAGGGAGAGGGGGAGCTGAGAGAGGAGGGAGAGGGGAGCTGAGAGAGGAGGAGGGAGAGGGGAGCGGAGAGGAGGAAGGGAGAGGGGACTGAAAGAGAGGAGGAGGGAGAGGAGCTGAGAGAGGAGGGGAGAGGGGAGCTGAGAGAGGAGGGAGAGGGGAGCTGAGAGAGGAGGAGGGAGAGGGGGGCTGAGAGAGGAGGAGGGAGAGGGGCTGAGAGAGGAGGGAGGGAGAGGGTGAGAGAGGAGGGAGAGGGGGAGCTGAGAGAGGGAGGGGGAGAGGGGAGCTGAGAGAGAGGAGGGAGAGGGGAGCTGAGAGAGGAGGAGGGAGAGGGAGGTGAGAGAGGAGGAGGGAGAGGGGAGCTGAGAGAGGTCGAGAGAGCGGAGCTGAGAGAGGAGGAGGGAGAGGGGTGAGAGAGGAGGAGGGAGAGGGGAGCTGAGAGAGAGGAGGGAGAGGGGAGCTTGACGAGGAGGAGGGAGAGGGGAGCTGAGAGAGGAGGGGGAGAGAGGGGAGGCTGAGAGAGGAGGAGGGCGAGAGGGAGCTGAGAGAGGAGGAGGGCGAGGGGAGCTGAGAGAGGAGGAGGGAGAGGGGAGCTGAGAGAGGAGGAGGGAGAGGGGAGCCTGGAGAGGAGGAGAGGAGAGGGGAGCTGAGAGAGGAGGAGGGAGGGGGAGCTGAGAGAGGAGGAGGGAGAGGGGCTGAGAGAGGAGGAGGAGAGGGAGGAGCTGAGAGAGGAGGAAGGAGAGGGGAGCTGAGAGAGGAGGAGGGGAGAGAGGGGAGCTGAGAGAGGAGGGGGGAGGAGGGGAGGGAGGTGAGCGGGAGGGAGAGGGGAGCTGGGAGCGGAGGAGGGGGAGGGGGGAGAGAGAGGAGGGGAGAGGGGCTGAGAGAGGAGGAGGGAGAGGGGAGCTGAGAGAGAGGAGGAGGGAGAGGGGAGCTGAGAGAGGAGGAGGGAGAGGGGAGCTGAGAAGGAGGAGGGGAGGGAGGGAGCTGGAGAGGAGGAGGGAGAGGGGGGAGCTGAGAGAGAGGGAGAGAGGGAGGGAGCTGAGAGAGGAGGAGGGAGAGGGGAGCTGAGAGAGGAGGAGGGAGAGGGGCTGCGAGAGGAGCGGAGGGAGAGGGGAGCTGAGAGAGGAGGGAGAGGGGAGCTGAGAGAGGAGGAGGGGGGAGGGGCGTGAGAGAGGAGGAGGGAGAGGGGGCTGAGAGAGGAGGAGGGAGAGGGGCTGAGAGAGAGAGGAGGAGGGAGGAGGGGGCTGAGAGAGGAGGGAGAGGGGCTGAGAGAGGAGGAGGGAGAGGGGCTGAGAGGGAGGGAGGGGAGGGGGGCTGAGAGAGGAGGAGGGAGAGGGGTGCTGAGAGAGGAGGAGGGAGCGGGGAGCTGAGAGAGGAGGGGGAGGGGGAGCTGAGAGAGGAGGAGGGAGAGGGGGCTGAGAGGAGGAGGAGGGAGAGGGGAGCTGAGAGAGGAGGAGGGAGAGGGGAGCTGAGAGAGGAGGAGGGAGAGGGGGCTGAGAGAGGAGGAGGGAGGAGGGCTGAGAGAGGAGGAGGGAGAGGGGCTGAGAGAGGGAGGAGGGAGAGGGGCTGAGAGAGGAGGAGGAGGGAGAGGGGAGCTGAGAGAGGAGGAGGAGGGAGAGGAGCTGAGAGAGGAGGAGGGAGAGGGGAGCTGAGAGAGGAGGAGGGAGAGGAGCTGAGAGAGGAGGAGGGAGAGGGGATGAGAGAGGAGGAGGGAGAGAGGGGAGCTGAGAGAGGAGGAGGGAGAGGGGGGCTGAGAGAGAGGAGGGGAGAGGGGAGCTGAGAGAGGAGGAGGGAGAGGGAGCTGAGAGAGGAGGAGGGAGAGGGGAGCTGAGAGAGGAGGAGGGAGAGAGGGGCTGGTGAGAGGAGGAGGGAGGGGAGGGGAGCTGAGAGAGGAGGAGGGAGAGGGGCTGAGAGAGGAGGAGGGAGAGGGGAGCTGAGGAGAGGAGGAGGGGGAGGGGAGCGAGAGAGGAGGCGGAGGAGGGGCTGAGAGAGGAGGAGGGAGAGGGGCTGAGAGAGGAGGAGGGAGAGGGGCTGAGAGAGGAGGAGGGAGAGGGGCTGAGCGAGGAGGAGAGGAGAGGGGAGCTGAGCGAGGAGGAGGGAGAGGGGCTGAGAGAGGAGGAGGAGGGGAAGCTGAGAGAGGAGGAGAGGGGAGCTGAGGAGAGGAGGGAGAGGAGAGGAGAGGAGAGGGAGAGGGAGCTGAGAGAGGAGGAGGAGAGGGGAGTCTGAGAGAGGAGGGAGGGCAGAGAGGGCTGAGAGAGGAGGAGGGAGAGGGGCTGAGAGAGAAGGAGGGCGAGGGGAGCTGAGAGAGGAGAAGGGAGAGGGAGCTGCGAGAGGAGGAGGACGAGGGAGCTGAGAGAGGAGGAGGAGAGGGACGCTGAGAGAGGAGGGAGAGGGGCTGAGAGAGGAGGAGGGAGAGGGGAGCTGAGAGAGGAGGAGGGAGAGGGGAGCTGAGAGAGGAGGAGGGAGAGGGGAGCTGAGAGAGGAGGGAGGGGCTGAGAGAGGAGCAGGGAGAGGGGCTGAGAGAGGAGCAGGGAGAAGGGATGGGGAGCTGGGGAAGGTGCGGGAAGAGGGTGCAGCAGGGAGGGGCCTCTCCCAGGGCCTCTGTGACCAGTGGCCGCTGCTGCTGAAGGGGGACCTGCCCACCGGGTCCTGGGCTTTCTGCTCTGTCGCTTCCTCTTTCCCACTAACTCCGGCCATGGCCATGGACGAGCGGCAGGTACCAGCACCTTGCCCCTGGCCATCGGGCGCCCTGGCTGCAGTAGCCACGGCGTCCCTTCTCTTCCCATTTGTGAGTTGTCTGCCTTCTCCCCTTGGGGACGTTTGTAATTCTCTCCCAGGGCTGCTTTGTCTCTATTTTCTCCTCCTCTGGGGAGTGTGAGGTCCTGGCCTCCCCACTGTGTTTTGTTATTACAGGGTTCATTCAGAGGGTTCCCTGGGCAGCGGGCTTGGTAAGGGCGGGCAGTCCCCTCCCCCTGGAGCCTCCTGGGCTAGGACAGGAAATGAGGGTCTCTTTCCAACTCTGCAGGGAGGCTGAGTTGAGCTCCTGAAGGTTGAGTTCCCCTGGCCCTTTGTCTCCGGGGACCCCAGGATTGGTGTGGGGGAGGAGGGTCCTCTCTCACTGGCATCTCAGGAGGCAGCAGCAGGACCGCAGCTGTTGGAACACTCGGCCTCCTTGCTTAACTTCTCATGGCCCCTGCGATTGGATTCTGCTACCTGCTCGCCATACCTTAGCTCTTGCTGCTAAAACAGGCAAAGAATAAGGGCAAAAGCCTTGAAAAGTGGAGATATGGGGTGATTTCCCCAAGGGGGATCCCATTCATTTCTCTCAGTATGTGGCTGGCTTCCTGTCCCCAAGCCCGCCTCCCCAGCTCAGAAGTCTACAGGCAGGGAGAGGGGGTTCTGTCCCAGGAAGGGGGTGTCTTCACTCCCAAGGCTGTCTCTCTGCTCCCACCACCCCTCCCCCTCACCCCACCAGCACAGGAGCGCCCCCGGGGGAGGCCCCCAGGCTGTCCTCCAGGGCCGAGCAGGAGGGGTCACCAGGAAAACTCCAGAGAAGCCCTTCCCTCCCAGGCTGTGTTTGCAGGGCCTGGGTGTCCCTCTCCCGCCCTTGGCCCCCAAGCTCCGCCTCCCTGGCTGTCCGCCCTGGGCTGCCCCTGGAGAGGGGCAGGGTGCCTGGGGCTCTGCTGGCATGGTCCAGCTTCCGGATCCCTTTGGGAGTTTATCTGAAGGGAACATCAGGGTGAGAGGGTCCAGCACAAGGAGGGCCAGGGCGCAGCTTTCCCAGGGGGCGGGGGCTGCTGGGCCACCTGGGACGTGGGCAGTGGGGGCTCTGAGCAGATGGCAGCTCTGTGTGTCCACTTAGCCACTGCTCCTGAGCCTGGGCACCGCCCTGAGCCTGGGCACCGCCCATGGTACCACTCTCCCTGTGCTGGCCTTGGAGAGGCTCCCCTGAGGCCTGAGTTTGACACATCAGGGTCCCAGCGCTCGCTGTTGTCTGGACAGGAGCTGTGCTCAGTGTCCCTGGGGCCACTCCCTCGGGCTGGGGAGCAGGAGGGGGTCCCGGCTCTTCTGAGGCCCTGGGGATCCTAAGCCCCTGCCTGTCACCAGGGGATCCCTCTCCCAAGGAGCCTGCCTTCTGCAAAGACAGACCTCAGCATTCCAGCTGCCCAACAGCCCCCCTAATCCGAGTCTCCCATCCATTCGCAAAATGCCATTTTGAGCAATAAACTGCACACCTGGAGGCGGCCTCCTGCTTTAGTGCTTTCTGCTCAAAATATAACCGACCAGGAAAGGCCCAGTGACGCTTAGAGCTTGCTGGGGGGGGGGGGGGGGGGGGGGGGCACGAACTGCAAAGGAAATGCATCTGACTCTCCATCTTTCCGGGCTTTGATTTAGACGTTTGCCTTTCTGGTGACAATTCTGATCATTTTCCAGTGAAACTGGAGTATCTTTTCGTATCAAATCGAAGGAGACCCGGGCAGCAATCCATTGAGCATCCGTCTAGGGGACAATTACTTGATGGCAGGGATTTCCCGGAAGCAATCTTTGTGGCACGCATGTGACCCGGGGGGCTCCCCGCAGTGGAGCAAGCCCGCGGGCCCGGTGCCCCCTGGATTCGTGAACCCAGGCCGCGTAGCTTCTGACGCTGATTTCGTTTTCTTTTCAGCAAGTGCGGGCCTTGGTGCAGAAGACAGAGCGTCATGGTGGCCTTCCGCGGGGTCTGGACCCAGGCGTTCTGGAAGGCGGTCACGGCCGAGTTCCTGGCGATGCTCATCTTCGTGCTGCTCAGCCTGGGCTCCACCATCAACTGGGGCGGCGCCGAGAAGCCCCTGCCCGTGGACATGGTCCTCATCTCCCTCTGCTTCGGCCTCAGCATCGCCACCATGGTGCAGTGCTTCGGCCACATCAGCGGCGGCCACATCAACCCCGCCGTGACCGTGGCCATGGTGTGCACCAGGAAGATGAGCCTCGCCAAGTCTGTCTTCTACATCGCGGCCCAGTGCCTGGGCGCCATCCTCGGGGCCGGCATCCTCTACCTCGTCACCCCGCCCGGCGTGGTGGGCGGCCTGGGGGTCACCACGGTAGCCTCTTTAGCTCTTAGTTTAGTTTTGTTTTTTTAATTTTTATTGTGGAGAGTATTACATGTTTCCCCTTCCTTCCCCCTCCAGCCCGCCCCCACACCCCACCCCAGGCCTTTAGCACCCTATCATCTGTGTCCATGGGTTGTGCCTATATGCATGCAAGGTCTTTGGTTGATCACCTCCCACCCACCCACCCCTGCTTTCCCTCTGAGAGTCCACACTCTGTTCTATGCATCTATGTCTCTGGATCCACTCTGTTTGTCTGTTTATTTAGTTCATTAGATTCCACATATGAGTGAGATCATGTGATGCTTGTCTTTCTCTGACGGGCTTATTTCACTCAGCGCGATACCCTCAGGTCCCGCCATGCTGTCTCAGGGGTCAGAGAGCCTCCTTTTCACTGCTGCGTAGTATTCCGTGGTGAAAATGTACACCATTCGCTCTTATTTTTATACCAGGACTTCAAGCTTCTTGCGGACTCTACTCAGTGACACCCTGGGGCATGAGAGACCTTCCTAAAATGGCTAATTTATTCTCAGGGCATTTCGGATGATTCATTTTGAGCTGATTCTGGCAACGCTGCATGCATCCATATGAAATCCTTGTTTGCTATTAAGTGACTTGAAAAATTACTGTCTTGATGGCACAAAATTTGTGTGGGTTTTTCCCTCTCTCTCTCCCACACCAGTGACGACACCAGCTATACATTTAGCATAAGACACTTTTATTACCATTCGTTGGTTCACTAGCAGAAGAAACAATTTGTTTCTTGCCATGTTTGTGAAATTTTAAATGATCTATGTTAAGGGTCACACTTAAAAAAGTACGTTGGCATTTTGAACCTAGCTTGGCTCTTAGCTGGTTAGGATTATCATCTGTTAGCTCAGCACCAGAGTTGATTTAAAACACACACACACAGGGTTTAAAATTTAATTGAAATATATTAATTAATTTAAATCTAATTACTGGATTTAATCATTTCCTTATAAAATTACAAGACTCTCAAGAAACTCTTTTATAAGTTAAGTAGAGCAGTGGCACATTTTGCTTCCCTTGTAGAAAAAAACACTCAGCACAAACTCCTGCTTAGTCATTGTAAGAGTAATTAATTACCCGTGATTGCCCCAAATGAGTGGAAATTCATGCCTTCTTTTGGGGGGGACAGGAGCAGTGTCTCAGTTGGGAGTGGGGTGGAAGACTCAGCCATCAAGTTGTTTTTTTAATTACAGTTTCCATTCAAGATTCTTCTGTATTAGTTTCAGCTGTACAGCAGAGTGGTTAGACACTCATGTACTTTACAGAGTGGTCCCTCTTGTATTTCAAGTACCCACCTGGCACCATACACAGTTATTCAATGCTAGAGGCCCGGTGCACGAAATTTGTGCAAGGGGCTCGGCCCTCACGGCTTGCCTCGGCCCTCACAGCCCCGGCTTCGTCCAGAAGGTCATCTGGAAGGACGGCCAGACGGTCATTCAGCTGTCTGGTCTAATTAGCATATATACTTTTATTATTATAGATTGTTGACTCTATTCCCTGTGCTGTCATTTAGATCTCTGTGACTATTCAGAAACTACCTATTTATGCTTCTCAATCCCTTCACCTTTTCACCCAGTCCCCACCTCCCCACTCCCACCCCCCACCCCCGCCACTGTCAACCGTCAGTCTGTTCTCTGTGTCTCTGAGTCTGGCTCTGTGTGAAATCGTACGCCCACCATTGCTTTTATTCACAATGCCGTGTCGCCATCGAAAATGCATTCCTGCTTCAGCTCAGACGGAGTGCTCTCCTTCTAGGTTCACGGGAATCTCACTGCGGGCCACGGTCTCCTGGTGGAGCTGATCATCACCTTTCAGTTGGTGTTTACTATTTTTGCCAGCTGTGACTCCAAACGGACTGACGTCACTGGTTCCATCGCTTTAGCAATTGGATTTTCTGTTGCCATTGGACATTTATTTGCAGTAAGTTTCCAAGTCCATTTGAATAATTGATCCATTTCATTTAGCCTCGCCCTAGAGCTGGCCTGAAAATGTTGTGTTTAACAGCTGTAGTCCTTTACACTCCAGCCATGTCTATCCCTTCTCGGTGATGATTTTACCAACTTTTCCACGAGGATGTCGATATGGCAGTGAGCATCTTGATAGTGCAGTTAGCACTGCAAATGGTAGCAAATCTCAATGAAGGAGACCTGTCAGTAGACCTGTTAACCAAAGCCTAAAGTTGCTTTCTTTTTCCCTGCAGATCAATTACACCGGTGCCAGCATGAACCCCGCCCGATCCTTTGGACCTGCGGTGATCATGGGAATCTGGGAAAACCACTGGGTAACTATTGTGTTGAGGACAGTTACCCAGGGAGCTCTTTATTTTTTTCATTGTTTTTCTCACTCGTTTCTCGTACTTCCTCCCAACCTTGACCCCCTATTGATTACATTTTTCATAAGAGAGACTAGCGCAGATCCGTAGCAAAACATCTCCTCTTATATCTGCTCTGAGCCTCAGTAATAGTCTTTTTTTTTTTAAGCGCTGCTCTGGGCGCTGTGTCTGACAGCCGACGGCAGAATGCGCTGCACAGGGAGGTTGCCTGTGTGGAACCAGTTAAAATCAGGACAGTGGAGAGGAGATGGTTTTTAAATAATTGAAAGTAAAGCTTTCCTGGCAATAACAGAAAATACACTTGCAGAAAGAAGATGAAGGAGGAGAAAAGAATGAAATGCTTAAAAGCACTGCCCATAGCAAAAACAGTTATCTTTTTTGTTTACAAAAGCGTGAACCCAATTAATAGGATGCAAGTTGGAAGCATCTGAAGTGCAGACGGCGAGGACTGAATGGTGCAAACGTTTACGCTGTTATCACCGGAGCCTCAGCCGGAAAAATAAGTGACTTTCAGGAAAGGCCAGCTTTCAGCCCCGGCCTAGCCTACCTGCTGATGCACTGGCGGTGCTTCTGAGAGCGGGGTGCCCGTTTTCAAATATCACAACCAATTTTATTTTTATTGTGTCTTACAAAAAGGAATGCTAATTCCTTAAATGAATAATGTGGCAGCTTTGCGGCCACTCACACACTAACTTACAATAAGCAAAATAAATAGGCATGAGAGCCAGCCTCACACGGGGTAACTCTTATTGTCACTTACATGTTGTGAGTGCTGTTTTACAACTTTCCGTTTGTGAACATAAAAGAACGTCACTTGTGTTTTAGTCTCGGGCACGGGGTGGTTACTGGCCCAGTCACACCACTCAGCCACAGTCTACACTGCAAATGCGGAGAAATGGCACCCGGCGATGAGCATTCGGTTCTAAAGAAGCACACCACGTTTTTACAGGAAATCCACACCATTGACCTGTGAGTCGGTGTTCAACAGCGAGAGTCAGGACTGAGACAGGCAAAGATTTTTCAACAATACTACCCATCAGATTGGTTATTTTGCCACTGATACTTCTAAATCTGTGCCTCAACATATCTGCCACACCAATGGGAATGGAAATTTTTTATGGACAGTATATAGATCTTATGAAAAGCATACAACTTTTAGTTCAACCTAACCTATTAAATTCAAACTATTTTTTATAATTAAAATTTAGAAAAATGACAACTTTCAGTTTAATTTATGAGGACTTTAAAATGCAGGTGAAAATATGTTTTTATTAATTACTTGTTAGGTGTGGTAAACTAGTGATGATTTAAAGAGTAGGAAAATTCTTAGCTTGTTGATTGAAACAAAGTTTCTCCCTGTTATTTTATAACAAACTTACTCCTACTGAAAGTGGAGTCCAATGGTGTGTGAAATTTAGAACTAAGTTAAAGTATATCTGCAGATAGATAGATAGATAAATGATAGATAGATAGATGATAGACTAGAAGTAACACCAAGATAGTAATGACATTATTTTAGTTTTCTTTTTTATACTTTTCTGTATTTTTTAAGAATAAAATTATTTTCCTTTATAGCTTTTAAAACATTAAGACTTTGTTTTGAAATAGCAGTTTGAAATTCAGATCTGTCCATTGTTAGCACATGCAGCTAGATGCCTTGGTCATAGGTGTTCTGGGGGAAGTGTTGGGATTAGTCTCTAGTCTCCCTGTGGGACTTGTAGCTTGTGGAGTAAATATATCCAAGGAGATCTTACCAAAGGAACAAAGAGTAAAGACAGTCAGAGGGGGGGGCTCCTTTGAAAGCCTGGAGAAGGTGCGCTCTCACACGGGTTCTTTCATGTTGGAGAAGAGAAACGTGGTTCTTGTAACCGCTCTACCCTGCTCCCCTGTTAAGTACGTGTGTTCGGCTTTAGCTTAAAGATTGGATTCTCTTTAGATTTTGCAGTGAGGGTGCTGATATCAATTTTCAGAGAGTGTTTTAAGCCAGAATCATTCGTCATTTTTTTCCAATGAGAAGACTGTACAGTGGAAACAATATCATAGCTCAAAGGAGTGGTGAGGTCCCAGCTCCGCTGGTTGCTAGGCACGAACTCTGAGGCAAGCCCCTTGCCCTCTCAGAGAGGCGGTTTTCTTCCTGGCCAAATGGGAATTGTAATTACATCTATAGCTCGAAGGGTATCGTTGGGGTTCAATGAGTGGATATGAGAAAAGTACGAAGTACAGCTGGCTCAGAGACAGTGCCCAGGAAACAGGGTTTCTGTTGCCCACGTAAATCTCTCTTTTTTAAAAAAAAAACAAAAAACTTTTTAAATTTTTTTTTTTTATTGAAACAGAGAAGAAGAGAGGGAGAGAGAAATAGAAACATTAATGATGAGAAAGGATCATTGACCGGCTGCCTCCTGCACGCCCCCTACTGGGGATCAAGCCCGCAACCTGGGCATGTGCCCTTGACCAGAATCAAACCTGCGACCTTCAGTCCTCAGGCCAATGCTCTATCCACTGAGCCAAACCACCTATGCCCGTGGTCGGCAAACCGCAGCTCGCGAGCCACATGCGGCTCTTTGGCCCCTTGAGTGTGGCTCTTCCACAAAATACCACGTGCGGCGCACGTACAGTGCAATTGAAACTTCGTGGCCCATGCGCAGAAGTCGGTTCTCGGCCTGGGCGAGTCTATTTTGAAGAAGTGGCGTTAGAAGAAGTGGGGGGTGTCGGTCAGTCGGGCGACGGGAGACGCGCGCAGGTGGCTGCAGGATACGTACGCAGTGTCGGGGAGGTGCACACGATTCATGCAGGAGTGAGGATGGGAGAGTGGGAAGGGGTCAACCTCAGCGAACATACCTCAATCAGATTGAGGACGTTTTTAGCAAAGGCCAGCTTAGGAGTACCCTAATTAAGTTAATAACAATGTACCTACCTATATAGTTTAAGTTTAAAAAATTTGGCTCTCAGAAGAAATTTCAATCGTTGTACTGTTGATATTTGGCTCTGTTGACTAATGAGTTTGCCGACCACTGGACTAGGGCAGCCCACGTGAATCTCTCGAACGGATGTCTAATATTCCACAGCCTACATGTGCTCTAAAGCCGATGTTGATGTTTATCCCAAACTCAAAACTTAATTTATTCTAGACACAGAAGTGATATGATAAGAGCTTTCATTTATTGAGTTAAAATCCCTCTGGACTTGCTTGCTCATCCTCAGCTAACCAGCATCCGTGAACTCGGTCCAGGGTTCTTCTCCACGTCACCTGGGAAGGAAGGGCAAGCAAGCACTCTGCGGGAAGAGTAACGGAGGAACCGGGAGGGTGTTCATTAATCCCATCACCACACGCTAGAGAGGAAAAGCACGTGACATGGATGGAGGTGACTTACTCGCATAGCCAGCCTAGACACATGCGCCTTCAAATCATTTAGGAAACAGGGAAAGGGGCAGGTTACTGTGCAACCGGAACTGTTCAGTATTTACAAGCACGTCATTAAGTTTCAATCCATTTCCATTCAATCCTGCACCCATGAGGAAGGTGTTCTATAACCCCACTCTGTCGGGGAGGAAATGAAGGTTTAGGAAGTGAAGTCGCTGATGCCAACACGCACAGAAGCTGGGCGGGGAGCTGAGAGCCCATTCGTCATGCTGCGCCGGACAACTGCAGCTCCCGGTGAGGAGATCTGTGCCGTGACTGTGAGCAGCAGGAAGCCGGTGTGAGGTGGCATTAAGAAAACCAGAAAAGCACTCGCCGGAACCTTTTTCTGTGTTAGTGGAAGAATTCTTATATCCGCTTATATGCAGTCTCACCAGAGAGGAGCTACCTGTACTTCAGTGATCATCAGAAAATGCAAAGAAAGTCATTCATGACAGGAAAAGAGAAAACCGCCTTTTCTTGTTTTCTGTTCAAGTGGCATTGAGAGATGGCTCTCTGGCACGGATTTGATGTATTTTCCTTTATTCTGTCCAGTTCTTCTCTTTTCCATACCGCGCCCCGTTACCCATGACCCGCACATGACCCTCTCTTAGCTTAAGCCCGCTAGGTTCTATCTGCGGGAGTTGTTCAAAGGAGTGACTTTTCTCGGCGTGAGTTCTCTAACCCTCCCTCTTCTCCCCAGATTTATTGGGTTGGACCCATAATAGGAGCCGTCCTTGCCGGTGGCCTGTACGAGTATGTCTTCTGTCCAGATGTTGAACTCAAACGTCGGTTCAAAGAAGCCTTCAGCAAAGCCGCCCAGCAAACCAAAGGGAGCTACATGGAGGTGGAGGACAACCGGAGCCAGGTAGAGACCGAGGACTTGATCCTCAAGCCCGGAGTGGTGCACGTGATTGACATGGACCGGGGCGAGGACAAGAAGGGGAAGGACCCGTCGGGAGAAGTGCTGTCCTCCGTATGACTAGAAGATGGCACTGAAAGCAGACGCGAGCCCTTAGAGCTGCCCTCAGAGGTCCTCCCGCCCATTAAGGAAACAGACTTGTTATAAAGTAGACATGTCTCATGTCACGCTACTCAGCCTAGCTAACAAGTATTTCATTATTTACTAAGGAGGAATGGAAGAAACCTATTGTGAATTCCAAATCTAAAAAAAAAGAAATCTTTTACCAGTATCCCCAAAGCAAATATGCGTCTAGTGTATCTACTTGCCACTCATTAGTAATCAATTTAAAGTGCGTATCAGGATCTGGTTAAGTCTTGCTGGACAGAAAATATAGGCAAACCTATCTGCTTATTCCTCCTCGACCAGGAAACTGGTATCGTCAATTCTCATTTGAGTATTTGTTCCATTAAATCAAGTTTGTCAGTGGCAAAGTACAGTGCGTCACAGTCATGCGCACTCAGAGAGGAAATACAGCAGGCTCTTATTATGAGCAGTCCCTTCCTTACAAACTACCTCGGCAAAAGGATACATTAACAAGGGCCATTGCTAATGGACTATTTCCATTTATATTTCAAATACCAAACTTTAACCCCAAACTCCAATTCATAATAGTCCTTCCTCCTCCTCATGCCTATGAGAATGTGAACTAAAACCCAAAATGGGAAGAACGTTCAGAAACCCTATATATGTGTTAGCTCTAAAACATCCAAATCGTAAGAGACATCTATTGAGATTCAGAACAAACCGATTTGTGAGACCTTATGAGGGTGGGAGGAAAGAACCATCACACAGAAACCATAGGAAAGAGGAAACCTGAATTCTGGTATCAGGTAGTCGTTCTGTTTTCAGTGCACATCCTCAGATCCAACGTGTGGGGGTGACAGGCTACGCTTTTAACCTAACAACTTTGCTTACTTTTTTTTTTAATTTATTGGCAAAACTAGGGGTTTTGTTTGTAACTTTGGTTATCTATAGATAAACATTAGCCAAGACCTATTTTTGATAACAAGAACGTAATAGGCGAGTTTGGGCTTTTTGTTGACTAGTAAGCTCTGTCCGTTCAAGAAGGTGTGACCTGGCCCCGCCTAGTCCCGGCCTCTGCTGCTGTCTCACTTCTCGGGGGATGCGCTGATCATGGTCGCTGTGGGTGCAACGATATCTTAATGAGTGAACACGCGTGAGAGACAAGGACCAGCGTGGCTGTCAAATAAAAGGGTGAGGACAGCAGAGCGTCCTGTGTTCAAGGCCGAGTAGATGACAATCCTTCGCTAGTAGGGATACTGCACATAACCCAACGCGCTTTTTCAGTGTTTTCCTTACTGACTTGTTTATTTGTCAAAGTAGTTTGTTTTTTCCTGTGCTGCTTGGCCTCACTGTCAGTAGAATGGTCTCTGCCAGCCCCAGTTTCTATCATCTTAGCCGGGCAGGCCAGCCTTTATCTTAGACAGAACGCTGCAAACGGCACTTCCACTGAACAAAAGCCCGTCGTGCAGCAAAATGCGATCACTGCGAAGAATGGCTTGTAAATAGCTGATCATCAAGGGCTTTCTTCTCGCGCACGCAGTTCCAACTGTGCGCCGCATCTCAGCGCTAATGCAGCTGTGTCTGTAGCCGTGAGATAATGGACCACTATTAAACCTGATTCTCTTCGGTGCTAGGAACGCGACACGTGCTAGGACTGCGAGGTTCCCAGGCAGTCATCACCCCAGTGCTGTGCCCGGGAGGGCCACTGGCATTTTTTAAAATATATTTTTATTGATCTCAGAGAGGCAGGGAGAGGGAGAGATAGAAACATCAATGATGAAAGAGAATCATTGATCGGCTGCCTCCTGCACGCCCCCCTTCTGGGGATGGAGCCCACAACATGGCATGTGCCCTGACCGGAAACGAACCCTGACCTCCTGGTTCATAGGTCGACGCTCAACCACGGAGCCACGCCGGCCCGGCCACTGGCATTTTTTGCAGCAGGTGCCAAATCCCAGGCCCCTTTCTCAGGGTGTGGCCAACCACACCCTCTGCAGGTGATGCAGGTTGCTTCCTGTTTGGGGAGCATCTATAGGAACTAGATGCGATGCTAAGGATGCTTCACGCCAGCCTTCTTAAATGTGTGTGCGATACCACTGACGACTTAGAATCGCTGGTGGTTCCGCTCAAAAGGTCATTTGCAAACATCTCAGTTCAAAAATGGGCTAAGAAGGACAGCGAAGCAGATCTCCCCAGCCTCTTACAGCTCATTGGCTCACCATCACTTTACTCAGCCATGTTTTACCTCTTTTCCACGCACTTCCGTTAGGCATCCAGTACGTTAGTGCTGAGGAAAAGCATAAATGCTGTCTTTGTACTTCGTTTTCCAGCAGCTAACAGAGTGGCTGGCACATAGTAGGTATTCAAAGCACGTGTTAGTTAGTAAAAATATATACATTTCCCAGGGGATGTGAGAACATGAATAATTTCCTCTTAATCTTTATGTTGTTCCATATTGAATAAAAGCATGATTTCACGGACTACTAGGGGAAGGTCATAGAAGTGCAAAAACCATCAAGTATGTTTGCGCAGTCCACCTTTTTGGAGACCTGAAAGCTGTAGCCCTTTCTCCCTGCGTATGAGCCAGCACGGTTTGCGTTTCACTCAAGGCTCTGCCCGTGAAAAGGAAGGAGGTTGTACCTTCCTAATGACACCGCTGCAGCAGGGGTCCAGGCCTCGTGGATGGCTCCAAAGTACCCACGTACCAGGCTATTTTCCTTTAATCCCTTCTTGTGCTGCTCCCAGGAGAGCGCCCCTGACAGATACACAGAAAGGAGATGAGAGCGAAAACGCTGGAAGGACATAAATGAATTACACCCCGGCAGGAAACGATGCGGCCGCCGCTTCCCTTCGGAGAAGTACGGCAAGCGCCCCAAAGGGCAAGGTGGTCCCAACTCTGAACGTGTGCACAGTGTATCAGAGAGCGCCCACGGGAAGAGTCCGCTGTTTAAGCTTTCAGCGGTTTCTTAAGAAGCTGAGGCTCAGAATTCGGATGAAGGTTTTCATTGCTGAAGGACAGCATTTCCTTCCAGGAGTCCTAACTGTCCGCCCTGGAAGGAAGTATTCTCTGGCACCGAAGGCGTTGCCCAACTTTAAGATTCCCACGCTTTTTGTTCCTGCCGTTTGAGGTTTTGCATTCATTCTTACACTTTCTAAGATCTGACCATTTTCCTAATGCAGTCGGTGGATGCTGGCTAGAGCTGCCGCTCAGTCTTGAAGATTTTGCAGGAAGGACAGAAACATGTGAATAAAATAGATGATGGTGTTAAGCTGCCTGATTAATTACTAGATTAATTACTAAATAGCAAAAAAAAATTATTCTTCTTGGGCCCTGAAACCAGGCAACTCACTTACGGGTTTAAACTCCAACATGACCAGGAAAATTCCAAAATAGAGGAGCAGATGCAAACGCTAAAACTGATTCTGGCGAGGCCCTTGGCTGCAACCTGTCCCATTATCCCCACTTGCTGTCAACACTGGACAAAGAAATCACCTTTGTGACCACTGAAGAGGGCATTGGGGGCTCGAGAGGGCCCATGTCGAACGGCATAAAGCCAGTATAATTCTCATCAGGAGCTCTATAGAACATGCACCTGCAGAATATCTTATACCTGATAGTAATAGTTATTCTGTCTCCCATGATATGTTTGTAGCATCAAAAGTATTAGGAAGATGTGGTAACTCTCTGGAAAGTATAACAAGACACATTCTTCGCAGCACATTTTCTCTCTTTGCGTTGGGATTGTGGTACTTCACAGGTCACCTCAAACAGCAGTAACTTTTGAAGCCCATAATTTTCCTAAAATACCTGGAAGACATTGAATTCAGGCCCAAAACATGTGGCTGCACACATTCACAAAATAACTATTGCTTATAAAATACATTATCAAATAAATGCTATAGAACATGTGGAATAATTACTTCAGTAAATTTAAGAGCCATTATAGTGATCCCAGGCGTGTTACAATTCAAGAGCTAAAAAAGTGTACTTAATTTATAGAACCCATTGGGAGATATTTCTAGATTCTCTTCAGGATTAATTAAATACACAGGCAATTTATGAAAATATATAAACAATAGTTGATCATGTTTACGACCCAAATCACAATGAAATTGTAATTCATGATAAACTGGTGAGAATAAACTGAACATATGGTTATAGGCACAATCATTTATTAACGGAAATGTTATTCCAACGTTCGAGCTAATGTTAAGGAGATTTAAACTGTAATGTCTAATATTCGGGGTACTCTATTAAAGTATTAGCATTGTGGTTGATTTCCGTGAACTATGTTGTATCTCATAATACTAAGCTTGTGAAAATAAACATTTTAATGTTTTAAAAGGTAAGCATGGTGCTTGGTGATGTTTGAAAATTCATTCATTCATAGACTATCAGCTAACATGACAACGAGTCTAAAAGTGAAGACAAACAACTGTGACTCAAATGAAGGTGCTATTGCCAAGTAGCTGATCCATCCTCAGGTCCTGCCTATGCAGATGGATAATAGGTGCCGTGAGTACTGGCTTACCCCCTTGAGTCCTTGGTTTGAGGGGCTCCTCAATTTTAAGAGGCTATAGACCCTCAGGGAAGGACTGGGGACAATCATTCTTGTCATGTACAACCCATCGACGAGTAGTAAATGGTGCCTCGGGAGCCAGGTGGGCATGAACCTCTCTTATCGCATTTGTCACATTGGAGGACAATCGTTTGTGTAGGTCTGTCTTCCCTTCTAAGTTCTAAACTCCTTGAGGGCCAAGACTTTGTATTATTTATTGATCTCCCTGAATTATGTTGCATCTCATAATACTAAGTATGGATCCCTAGGCTTGACATTTCCCTTAACAAATGCTCATTTCATGAGTGAATAAAGAACTTCAGGGAACATCTAACAATGAATGGAAAATGCCACATAGTGCTAAACTCCAATCCAGTTGGTTTTGCTGTTATATAGGCACTGGCTATATATTTGAATTCTTATAATTCCATTTAGGAGCCTGAAATTAGCTCAAACACTAAAGAAAAATAAAAGGAACGTGCACAAAAAGAATGAAATGCTAATTGGATTTCTAAAATGTATACCTAATGTGTAGGCAACAAGACATGTTTTCATTGCTATATTTATACAGTGGCCAGATGTTAGATGAAATTTAGCTCAATGAGCATTTCAGTAAGAAAAGCATTTTAACAAGCATGGGAGGCTAGAGATATAAATGTCAGCCTGGTTTTAGATAATTATCCTGCTTGGAAAATGTCCAAAACAATATGCCGTCCAAATTAATTCTTACTGTTTTTTAGTTTTTCTATCTCTTCACTCCTCAGGCTTAAGAAGACATTGAGGGCCCTAAAAGGCTGAGCTGAATTATGCTGCTTCCACATGTACAGAAGCTGCTGAGAAATCATGACATTGATGTTTGTAATCTTTGTGCATAGCACTGTGATGGTACATAGCTAGTGCTCAATAAATGTGAGATGGATGGATGGATGGATGGATGGATGGATGGATGGATGGATGGATGGGTGGATGGATGGATGGATGGATGGATGGATGGATGGATAAATGGGTGGGTGGATGGATGGATGGATGGATGGATGGATGGATGGATAAATGGGTGGGTGGGTGGATGGGTGGATGGATGGATGGATGGATGGATGGATGGATGGATGGATAACTGTGTAGATGATAGATAGAAGAAGCGGTCCAATCTGGAGGTATTGAGTTAATCTGTGAACAGATGAAAATCATACCCTATATTCCTTCTTCCCTTATAAGAGCATTGGCCAAGAATCAGAATGGTAGACAAGGAATGCATTGATTAGAATAATTATCAATTACAAGTATACATGTGGGTCTTTAGGCTGTATACTAAATATTATTCTCAATCATTTTATCTTGAAGGCTCAATGTGAGATAAACATTACTATCATTCTCACTTCCAAACATGAGGAAACCAAGGGTCAAGGAGATTAAGTGAATTACCCAAAACCATACATAGTGGTAAAGCAAAAACTGGAACCCACATCCCAATGAATCCCAATCACTGATATGATTCCCCTACACCACACAAAGTTCTCCCTCATCTATCAACCTAATTCCCCATTAGACATGTTTCCTTAAGTAGCAAGAACTATATCCAGCTGTACTAGGGGGATCCCTGTTAAAGCACAAGGAGCGATAAATTAAGTCCTACAGGCCTGGGACAAGTGTGACTGGGCCAAGAGGACAGGGCTGCCATGGCTTTACTTTAGGGAACTTTGGGTAATTTAGGGAAATTTTTATTGATTTGTTTAGGAAAATATTATATAAAGTCCATTATTTAAGATATGATTCATTTAGTCCAGAAAAAGAGGGTTGCAAAGTTTCTGGTAAGATCTTCTGCATCCTATCTAATAAAGAGGGAATATGCTAATTGACCCTCATGCCATTGCAAAGATGGTGGCGTCCACACCCAATAAGGAAGGAATATGCTAATTGACTGCCCCGCCCTCAAAGATGGCAGCGCCCACAGCCACAAGATGGCAGCGCCCAGTCCCCTCAGCGCCCCAGCTGCCCAGGGCTGTCCAAAGCTCAGGTAACCAGGGCCGGCTGAGGTTTGCGCTGCTGGCAGTGGCAGCAGCAGAGGTGTGATGGGGCATCGCCTTCCCCTGATCACTGGGTTGCCTCCCGCCCCTGAGGGCTCCCAGACTGTGAGAGGGGGCAGGCCGGGCTGAGGGACCGCCCCCACCCCCGCTCCAGTGCATGAATTTTCATGCACCAGGCCTCTAGTTTCAATAATAATAACAACAACTTTCAATTATTGAACACTTATTCTGCATCAGACATGTACTTTACACAGTGCACTCATTTGTCGTAGAAGCTGCATGAGGCAGCTACTATTATCCCCATTTCATAGGTGAAGAAACTGAGGTCCAAGAAGGGTAAGTCACTTGTTGAAAGTACAAGAGCTGTGCGTGGGAAGGTGGGATTTGACCCCAGACAGACTGTCCATAGCCACTCCACTGCTAGCCACTGCCTTGTGTTGTTTCTCACCTGTGGTGCCCTAGGTGTCGCGTGCTCCAGCTTTCATATCTGTTCTTTCCACACCTTGACTTTTGATATCCCGTGGAGATTGCAGTTGTTTGAACCTCTCTGTTTTCCCGACTCAACCTCTGATTATCACTGTGGCCACCTCAGAAGGAAGATTTAAATATTCAAGTGCAAATGCCATAAAGATAAACCAGCTAAGCTTACAAAGTGTTTTTGAAAGGGACTTTGAACAGCCGAGAAAGCTCTTTCTTTAGTGAGCTGGGGTCTTTCAAAAACCTCTTATACAATAGACCTTCTACTTTTTACCTCAGATTTCCTGGCTGGTCTTTCATTTATCAAATTTGGCAATTTCTCTTTGTCAAATTTGTAATATGTATTTTAATTCTTCTTTACCCATTAATCACCTAATCAATATATATGTTTGAATACATATTTTGTTCAGGCTCTATAAAAATTCTTAATAAGTTATATTTACTTATTAAATATTTATTTTATTAAATAAAATATATTAATAAGGGAATCAATAAAATGGTGTTTGGCAACAACCAAGCTAGTCTATAATGACTTACCCTACATGAGGCAATAAAGTGTACAGACTGTATTTTTTTTTAAAATCCAATAAATGTACTTTTGAGTGGGCCAAATTATAATATGGTTAAAATGGCAACAGCTTTTGGAAATAATAAGATAGAATGACCATGGCCAGTACTTTCCCTTTCATTCAGTGATGAGAAGAGAGACATTTTCATTTACAAAATAGAACTGAACACATCCAGTACCTCCCTGTTTCCAAACTATAGAACTGTAGATTAAGTCCCCAACTATTTTGACTCAGACTCTCAGAAAATAAAAATCTTTAGAAATATAGAGATGTACAACCAATGTCTGTGAAAATCATTTGCTTAAATTTTGCCCACACCCCTCCCCCCCCACCTCAGAGGAGAAATAAAGGAAAAGAGGGAGAGAGGGAGGAAGGGAAGGAGGGAGGGAGGGAGGAAGAGAAGGAGGAAGGGAGGGGAGGCAGGGCAGGTGGGTCAGAGGGAGGGAGGGAAGGCAGGTGGGTCAGAGGGAGGGAGGGAGGGAGGGCAGGTGGGCTAGAGGGTGAGAAGGAGGGCAGGTGGGCTAGAGGGAGGGAGGGGAGGCAGGTGGGTCAGAGGGAGGGAGGGAGAGCAGGCAGGTCAGAGGGAGGGAGGGAGGGCAGGTGGGTCAGAGGGAGGGAGGGAGAGCAGGCAGGTCAGAGGGAGGGAGGGAAGGCAGGTGGGTCAGAGGGAGGCAGGCAGGGCAGGTGGGTCAGAGGGAGGGAGGCAGGGCAGGTGGGTCAGAGGGAGGGAGGGAGGGAGGGAGGGAGGGAGGGAGGGAGGGAGGGAGGGAGGGCAGGTGGGTGGGACCCCTCATTAACAGCAAAGTGAGTGGAGAGGGGCTCCCAGGCTCCTGTCCCACCCTGGGCAGTTGCCCAGATGCAGAGAAAGTCCCTGTGCTAAGTCCCCGTGTCCTCATCATCCTACATTGAAATCAGTGCCCCAAATAGAACTGTCCAATGCACAGTCTTCAACAAATGTTTGTCCTCATCTCAGTTTTAATTGTCAAAATGTCAAGCTAACGGGAAATTGGGCTCCTTCCATGGAATAAAAGGACACTAAATATTTATTTTCATCAACAAATACAACATGAAAACAAGAGGGCTAGCCTCTAAAATTTATTTACTCAAAAAAGAGAAACCATGAGCCTAAATTTTCCGCTCACGGCTCCTGGAAATGATTCTCCATACTAAGCTACTGCAGAGTTTCAATGTCAAACCTATCACAAAAGATGTGGGTTTTATCTTGTTGTTTCAAAGGCCCGTCTTGTGGAGAAGTCTCAGAACCGAAAAACAGGAGCGGCTGAGATCTCTCTGGTGGCCGGCAGTGAGGCAGGGTTGAAAGAACTCGGCCTTTCTCGGCTGAAAACAATTCAGCCCCGTGGTGTTGGTACACTGCGGCTAAATCATTCATAGTCTTTGAACTCTAATAAAAAATTCTCATCAAACAATGATGACATTTTCATTTCATCAAAGTTTAATCACAAGAGTATTGTAATTCTGATTTTCTTCACCTCGGTTCAAATTGAAAGTAATTGTCAGACGTCATTTTAATCTAACCATTACATCCCTTCTTACAAGTTCCCTCTCCATTATTACACCCATTTTGTTCTCTAAAAGGCTTGTCTCTCTTTTTTTCTATTATTCAATCAGTTTTAACAGAACTTCGTCGCCCACTTACAAATGGTACACTTAGGGCTCCTTTCAAACGCGTTTGAGCTCACTAATGAGCACGAATG